TATATATATATATATATATATATATATATATATATATATATATATATATGTTTTCTGAGGTTTTCGCGGGTGTTTGTATGTAGGTCTTTAGTTATTCGGGTTTTCTCCCGCGTAGAATTAAAAGTACCTTGGCGACGTTTCGACGAAGTCACATTCGTCATCTTCAGGCTGGTGTCTTCAGCTTCGTGCTTCTTAGAAGACACCAGCCTGAAGATGACGAATGTGACTTCGTCGAAACGTCGAAACGTCGCCAAGGTACTTTTAATTCTACGCGGGAGAAAACCCGAATAACTAAAGACCTATATATATATATATATGTGTGTGTGTGTGTGTGTGTGTGTGTGTGTGTGTGTGTGTGTACACACACACACACACACACATATACTGCTCACAAAAATAAAGGGAACGCAAACCCCTTCAGTTCTATGGTAAAATGTTCCCTTTATTTTTTTGAGCAGTCTAATTTACAGAACTAGTATTTCTGGGGGTCTGCTATCCAAGTACCAGCCACTCTGACTCTGTTTAACGTAATTGGGGGAGGCTTCAGCCAAAGTAAGTTTAGCAAACTTGTTGCAGCCACAGCATATTCAGATAATATTAAATGCTTACGGCACTCCTTAAGAGGCTCGTCTGACCAATCCCTGCAGTCTTTCAATCCATTGCAGACCTTGTCCATGCTGATACATTCTCCAGAGCTGCACTTAAATACATTTGATCCCTTGCAAGTTGTCACTGTTGCAAAAGTAAAAAAGAAACATTGTTTAATCTCACTTTGCAGCTTCTATTTGGCTTTTATAGGAAAGCTATTCAGAAAGTGAAAGTAAGCAGAAGAGCAGCAACAGAAGAGAGCAGAGGCATTTAACATTTTAATAAACACGATTTTCTATTTTTTTAAAAGAAGAATCTAAACTATACTTCATCCACAAGACATCCCAAGAAAATGTAAAACATTATCATGCTATAAACTCAGTTCCAGCTTCTTCAAATAATAAGCTAATCCCGGCAAATATTTAAGAATGAACAAGCCAGTTGGCAGTCTTCCCCTCACTGTCCAAGCCATTGTATCCCCAGAAGAAAACCATCTCTTCCCTTGTTTGAAAATGCATTGCCTGCTTTTCTGAGTGACCTGCAGAGGAGCTTTCTCTGAAGACCTCAGGACTGTAGAGAGAACATGGCATGGGCTCTTCCACCCTGAGCAATAGTCTCCCCCATCCCCACCCCTGGCTCTCCAGACTCCTACATAACGCTACCAGCAGGGCTCACCATTGATACAGCCAACCTCATCACTCAGGTCCTTGCAGTCAGGCTCTTGGTTGCATTGCAAGCTCCCATGGATGCACATCCCGTCATTGCACTGAAATTCATCAGGCCGGCAGGTTACTTTAACTGGGGAAAAACAAGAAGACTTTTAGAGCCAGCAACACCATTATGCCAACCTAGTCTCTATCTCTGCATGACACACAGTACGGCTCATGTTACTTCATGGAACCAGAGCGTAAACTGGCATCTCCAACTCTCCCATACAGCACCAGAGCTTCTATATTCTTGGGCCATAAATGGAAAGCTGTCACTATGCAAGCTAAGCATCAAGAGTGAAGAAATGAACCTCCAGAACAATATGAGGTTGTATTAGTTGTAGCTCTATCAGGAGCCAGAGAAACTACAGGTAGTCCTTGTTTAGCAACTGCATCATTTAGTGACCGTTAGCAGTCATATTGATGAAGAAAGTAACTTCACAATCAATCTTCACATTTATGACCTTTGCAGATCTGTAATGCAAAGGAAAGCTTTCAGTTATCAATTGCTGCACTTAATGACAGAGTTGCTGGTCCCAATTGTGATCACTAAATGAGGACCACTAGTAGAGTAAAGCACTCTATCAAGCCTGAATAGTTAGCTAATACCTACCAGAAGCTACTGTAGGGCAATGTCATGAATGAAATTGGGGGCAAATTGTAAGCTGTCCAGCATCTTGCTCAACTCTCACTTGGGTCTGGATCTGAGAATACAAGCAGCACCTGTTCTGCTCAGGGTATCTGGCAAGATTTTTTATTTAAAAAATAACCTCTAATTCTTATTTCTTTCTGCTGAAGTATTTTTGAAGCCTCTCCAAGGCAGTTTGTTCCAGCTCTCTTTCATATTATCTTGAAACATGCTACTTAAAATAATTGATATTTTACCCCCCTTCTTTAGCCACAAAAGTTTCAAGTCAAACTTCTCCTTCTGTGAAGGATCTTGACCCACATGTATTGTAATCTCCCGTAGCTTTTGCAGAGAGCCCAGAGACTGCTCAGTATGTGCTTACCACAGTTTGCCTCATCTGATCTGTCCTTACAGTCAAAGCTTCCGTCACACTGCCAGCGCTGGTGGATGCACTCACCACTCCCACAATGGAACTCCAATGGAGAGCATGGGTTGGTTTTCTTGGCTCCCTGTTGGATTCCACAGAACTCGGCTGATTCATCAGATCCATCTTTACAGTCTGCTTCATTGTCGCAGGCCCAGAGCTTGGGAATGCACTCTGAGCTGTTGCAATGAAACATTTCAGGATTGCAGGTTGGGGCACGACAGTTTAATTCATCACTGCTATCTCCACAGTCATCATCTTCATCACAGACAAAATCAATAGCAATACAATTCCCATTTTGGCATTGGAACTGATTATCTGCACAACGTTTAGGAGCTAAAAAGGCAGAACACAAGGTTATCAGTCACAACCTACATCTACAATGGGATACAAAGATTACAAATGGGTTATTCATTTCTCTTTAACAGGACACCATCTCTATATATGTTTTATGCTAAACAACAAGTGAGAAGCCTTTTTCTTGAAGTACAAACTTTTTCTCACAGATTCAAAGCTGTCTTGCTGTTTTCTTTTACCTGTCCAAGATAGATTGCAGCGGATGAATGCAAGAACCCTGAAGTCTCAACTAATAAATATGACAGAGGGCACTAAGTAACCTTTTAGCTTCTATGCTCTAAAACACAAGACTGGTAGAATTTGAAAATCACAATCTACAAGACAGAATAGGATACATTCTTAGTTTTAAAAGTAATGGGATTCCAAATTTCTATCCCTGTTGGTGTTACCATAATTAATATAGCATCCTTCAGTGAATGTGACAGTACCATCTGCTTTATGATGCCATTATGACATAATCGCCTCCATCACTAAGTCATGCAGCCCTGACTTACGGCAGTTGTCTTCATCTGAGCCATTTTCACAATCCCCTTCGGAGTCACACCGCCAGGACATATCAATACAGCGATTGATGCGACCGCCACAGCTGAACTGGGTTGAACTGCAAGTCACAGACTCTGAAAAAATACATACAATCCTGATTGTATTAAACTATATCCCACAGCCTTGTGGTACTAAATAGTCTTAGCAAAGAGGTCCCTTAGTCTTAGGATTGTTGTTCACTGGCCAAAGAGCTTGGGGGAGACAGCACAAGTTCTGGTGTCATGAGAAAAAATATGGAAGTCAGTCAGATGAGCAATGTGTCCCTGCACATGCTCTCAGTTAGCAAGTAGGAAATATCGTGAAAAAGGAAGACGACCTTGAAATCATTCTGCAGATATGCAGGAACTGTTACCTAGGCAAAAGGAGCTGAAGCATTTTTTAACCATAGAACAATGAGATAACATTTAGAAGTAACACTTCCCTAATTCATTGAATTATGAGAAGGCAGAGGTGCTATAGAATCATTTACAAGATTCTATTTTTATAACCCATCTCAATAAAAGTGATTTTATCCTTCCTCTGAAGTTGATTTTTGATCTGGTCTACCTAATGGGTAGGCATAGAAACTCAGCTCTTCTGACATGAAGCAGTGTGGCTGATCCTTAGAGGCAATAATCTTCCTTTCAATGCCATTGCCACCATGCTTCCCTCTAATTTTCTCCTTCAAGAACTTTAAAGCATATTACAAGGTTCCAGGTCCTTCCAAGAGAAGATGGGAGAAGATGTCACTGTGCCATTCTATTATGCTTTGCTCAAAGATATTCTCTACTAACATTTAATCACTTTAGTTCTCTCACCTTTGAATCTTAGAAGTCGTCTATTCAATGAGGTGACTAAGAAGCTGCAGCTGAAAATTCTTGGCTACAGGCTTGGGGACTTGGGGAATGACAATAAAATCTGAAATCTGTATAATGAATGCATTTTTGATGTACCTGGATGTTTTAATCAAATCATGAATACAATAAAGGACTTGGAATGTCATCTGTTTCACTACAAAGCTCAGGATTAATGATGCAGGGAAATTTAATTTAATCTAACATGGTGCTTACATTCAAGATCAGCTATAAGTTTCAAGATGGCTCCATTTATATAAATATAAATAAATAAATATCAAAAGTCTTTTTGAAGGAATGAACTCCCACCCTATGAGACAAGATGAAGCTAACAGGGATTAACCTCATCTTTTGTTCTTAGTTGTTCCACTTCTCCTGGCAGTAAACTTCTATCCCTCTTTGAAACAAGCAGCTTCTCTGTGGGAAGAATGCATCCTCTACTTATGGTCCACAGAAACTTGGACAACATTAGTAGGTGGCAGATTATAATTGCTAAAATACTGGCTGAATGCAAATAAGCCAATATGTAACTTACCTATTTTTGTGAATTCACTTTGATCACTCGCTAGTTTACTGCTAAGTATATTGAATAATCATAGCTAGCTGTGATTTATTCTGAACAGCTTAGTTAGTAAAACCATGGCTTAGCATGTACAAATCCAGCCTCTATAAAAGAGATGTAGAGATCCAGAGCATGTTCTTGTAGGCACAGATACTTGAAGACTGTCCCTTCATGTGTGGCTTTTGGGGACATTGGAAGAGGAAAACTTGCTCAAAACTAGCATTAGGTAACTTACTGCAGGCATCCAGGGATTCATCAGAACCATCCTGACATTCAGGCTTGCCATCGCAGATCCATTTGTAAGGGATGCAATCTCCATTTCTGCATTGAAATTCATTTCTTCCACACTTACCCCGCTCTGCAAAAGAGTTTCATTAACCATTAGAAAGAGAAACCACAATTTTCTGACTTCAGTCCTCACCTCTATACGGAGAACCTCTTAAGTGTAAATTAAACTTATTCATAGGATATTTATCTGTACCTTCACCACAGGATATGAATCCAAGTTTTATTTTATATATAACTATACACACAACTTTTAAAATTAATTCTAAGTGCACATGTATCCATTTCAAACTCCATGAAGGTAAAAGAGGCATACAGAGAAGAGACTGAAGATCTTACCAGAGATTTATCTAGAAACAGATATTTCTGATTGTACCCACAAGCAAACTGATAGAGAGCAAGGTGAGATGAGACAATAATTGTGGCGAGATCTATTTGATACAACTCAAGGAAGAATTGCAGCTCACTAGTACAGTGCACTTTTTACATATGGAAATTGAATCTCCTGAATGTTTAGGTTGGGCTGAAACTCTGGGCAATAGGTACCCATAAGGATTGCCAATGTGGACCAGTGACCTAGTTTAAGGCTGCAGCTTGTACTGTAGCTTGTGAGGAGGCTGCCATTTGTGCTTCTACATGAAGCCATGAAGCATTGAGAGCAGCTTTCATTTCAATGAAGCTACACCCTTCTTTCTCTGGCAGCTATGCCACTCAGCAGTTCCATCTCAACTGTATTTCTTAGACAGTTTTCAAATCTGAAAAGTGGAGAGCTGCTGTTTTCTTAGCTGCTGAAGTATGCCTGTTTCTAGTCTGATGTTGGACTAGCAGTATCTCCAGCAGGGTCAGAAGCTTCAGAGCATTCTTTAATGCCAGGGTTGACCCCTTGAATATGCTAAGAGCTCTGTTTGCCTCACTGCAAACAGACAATCTCTTCCCTGCTCACTAATCCCTAGATTTTAGCTAAGGGAAAGAAATGACCTCCAAACTGATATGTCTGATTACCCCTGTTGTTAAAAATTTTGCCATCCTCTTTAACAGAAGCCCTCTTATCATACCCATAGGTGATGTCATGTGGGCCTTATTAGAAATTTAACAGTTTAACATAGCCATGAAAGAACAGAACATAGATCTTCTTTAATTAAGAGCAATTAAGTAATACCTTAATCAAAGTATTAATTTCAGATCCAAACATTAGTAATATCTACTGCAATGTAGCATCAGAGGTAATCTGCTTTGGAGACTGACTTACTCCTGATATAGAATAAACAATCACAAAAAATGCCTCTAGCTTGGAGAAGCACCATGAAGTTGACTTAATCTCACAAGGCATGAGGAAGGGACTCTTCAGTTGCATGACTGCTGTCATAGATAAGCCCTCCTTTACATCAGCTCTATAACATTTAATTAGATCCCCAGATATGGAGGTATCCTGTTCAAATTCTCAACATGGGATTATTGACCAAACCCTACCATTAAGCCTATTTCATATGAAGCTTGGATATGTCCATGGGTCTATGCTCATGGGTTCAGTATGGTGAGTAGTTTAAAAAAAAAGGTTTTCTGCCCCATTTGTGCATGTCATAAACTGCAAATGGCTTTACAGAGCTAAAGTACAAGCATGGAGCATATCAGATTAAGATCTTGATGGCATCTTAAATAATTATAATTGCATCTTGCAAGGGTCTACTCTAGTTAGGCTTGCAAGTGCCTGAAATTAACATTTAAACCACTCACACAATTGTGGATACAGTGCAAGCCTGAATTTCTCCCTGAACTGTGATTTATTGCTGAAAAACTGCAAATATAGCAGAAGGAGTTTAACTCTTCTGATTATACAAAATGGGCAAGATAGAGGTTTCAGCTGAGTCACAAAGCCATTTCCCACTGCTCCCTGCTTTTGATTAGAGAGAGAAGGCTGGTTGTCATAGCCAATTGTATACATACTGAGGTGGAGCTTAAGTCACACCATAAATTCTCCTTACTTTCAAGACTGCTCATAGAAAACAAATTAACAGAAGGAGCGGTGATCCAGACAATCACTCTATTTGCTGAACAAACAGCAAGCAACAGTCTGTTGGTCATTTAGCCATGGTGATACTGTTTGAAATGGACCATCAAAAAGTGGAAAGTCCTCTCTACAAGGAATTTATTAATTACACAGCTTCCTGAAGAGCTAAGAGCCTGAAATTAAATCACACTTCCCATATCTGCATTTTGTTTATTCCAAACATGCAAACAATGTTAAATTATTTCTAACAGCATGCAATCATGTATAATGAATGACTTCTTATAAGTTCACAATATTTATTGTTACAAATTTGCATCTTTAAAAAATAGGTTTGTAACCCAGTCATAACCCTCCCAACTTGTATCTCCAAGTTTTCTTACCTTTTTATTAACTATAGACTAGTGTTTCTCAAGTCAGACTCAAATGTTAGTTACCAGGTTAAAGACAGATTAAACGAGAAAATGATTTAAGCTAGAGAGGGATGATACTGAATGTCATGTGTCTTCCATGAGTGAAATTATAAAGTTACATTATTGAGGTACATAATTTTACAAGCTGGCTGGGGAATTCTGGGAGCTGAAGTCCACATTTCCTAAAGTGGCTGAGTTTGAGAAACCCGCCTAATCTATAGAGTTAATAATTGATTTTACTGAAGTTGAAAACTGTTTCCTGTACTTGCTTTATGATGCTTTGTTAGCTTATGTGCCTGACATCACATAGGGACAGTCAGAAGAGGAAACAAGCAGATTTACATTTATGCAACCTGAAGGAGTTTTTTTATACGAAATTCAAATAAGACACCACCTCCCCAGAAACCTTCAATATGAAACAGTGGAATACAGGACTGGAATATTGTAAGCTATTCTCCCAACAGAGCTTCCCAAACAATTATTATGGCTTAACAAAACTCCAGCAGTCCTGTATTAAGGCTGGGAAAAGTTGCAGATTCAAAGGGCAACATTTTATCCTTCAAAGCTGGATACCTGCATAGCTACATGAACCACTATTTTATAGTCTGGCCTATAGTAAACAACTCTCCAGAGCAATTGTAAATGAGCCTGGCCTGCAATATCCAGTATCAACTTATGTCTTCCATAAAACAATATCTCCCAAATTCAGCGCATAGCCTCATAAAATACTCTAGCCCAGACATGTCAAACTCGCAACGTCACATGACGTTGTGCAACGTATCGGGAGTTTTGCCATTGCCGGCAATGGAGTGGGTGCAGCTTCCACATGACGCATCTGGCCCACAGGCCGGCAGTTTGACACCCCCGCTCTAGACTGTGGGAAGTTAACCCAGAGAAGGAAATATTAAAAAGGCAGGGAAAAAATATTGTTCACCAAAAGGATTTTTAAAAGCATTTTTTTGAAAAGCAGAAACCAAACCTGGCCTCATCTCCTTGCCCAGGGCAGTAGCTGGTCTTATACATATGCAGATGTGGAACCATCAGAAAGTTTGGAGCCAGGGATCTCAAGACAAANTCTCTCTCTCTCTCTCTCTCTCTCTCTCTCTCTCTCTCTCTCTCTCTCTCTCTCTCTCTCTCTCTTGTACAAATATAATACTAGAGAAGGTTTCCATATTTTGTGGCGTGCCAGTTTCCTATTTATTATTTTAAATTCAAAGAATAAAAAATATATAAAATTATATGGTTGGAAACGAAGATGGCATCCATGAGTACCAAATTATCATTTTGAGAGTCCAAAAGCAGTTGGAGAAAGCACAGTGAAACTCCTCCCAGCCACTTTGTTCTTTCCTTGTTTTGACATCGTTTCACTCCACCTCACTTTTTGTGCTCTACACCTGCAGCCCGGTTTGCTACATCAAATGAAAGCAGGGAAGTGGGCAATGGGGTCAAGAAAGGCAAGCAGATAAGAGGAACTCCACTTGTCATCTGTCCTCCATTGCAAAGTTTGAAGCATGTATTTACAAAAAGCGGTGTGTGTAACTGAAAAAAAAGAAGTGCTGCTGTTTTAAGCACTGCTGCTCAAAGACGGTTCCTGCAATACGAAGCTTCTCCAGATTCAGAGCACTGAATGAAGAAGCTGTTATTTGCTGCAGCTGTTAAGGCTTATGGCCAATCTTTATAGCCAAGTGCTGGCAGATTGAGTCTGGTTCTTAGGGAAAGCTTTCTGTCTTGCTTGTTGAATTCATTTTTTGCTTATTTCTCTGTGAGTATGTGTGTGTCGGATAATCAAACCAAGTAGCCCTGAGACTTTAAGCTTAATTTACATGGATATATAGCAGTATGAGGGTGAAGGTTTGTTCTCTGAGTTTGTGGGTTGGTTTCCGAACGTTTCGTTACCAGGCTAGGTAACATCTTCAATGGGGTTTAGGAGATGTCAGTGTCAGTGTTCTGTTTATAAGGACTTCAGTTGTGGGTGTGTCGAGTGTGGGAAGTTAACCCAGAGAAGGAAATATTAAAAAGGCAGGAAAAAAATATTGTTCACCAAAAGGATTTTCAAAAGCATTTTTTTGAAAAGCAGAAACCAAACCTGGCCTCATCTCCTTGCCCAGGGCAGTAGCTAGTCTTATACAAATGCAGATGTGGAACCATCAGAAAGTTGAAGCCAGAGCAATCAAGAAGACAAAGAGAAAATCTGCATACTCCACCCAAGCTCTTAAGAGTCATTAGCCCCATCACCTGGGAAGCAGGATATGATAATGGGATTAAACCACAGATATCAAGGCCTAGAAAAACACTCAGAAATAGCCTCAAAGTTCATGCCACAGGAACAGGAAACTTCCAGGCAGGGCTAGAGGGTATAAAAAGGCCTTCTACCCATGTGCTCACTCTCTTTTCTTCTCCTCTGCTGCCTATCTGTCTTCTGCAATAAACTGTAACCTTCTTCCCAAAGCAGTCGCCATGTTTGCTTATTTATTCCCGGCTTGGATGAACCAGGATGAAGACTTACCTTCTAACAATTTGGCACCCCAGGATGGGACTCCAAGCTAACCTCTCCAATGGACTGAGACTGGTAAGCCCCATCTTGCCGGCAGCAGACCCCTTGTGTCTG